CTCCAGGTCCAGGAGCGTGTCCACGTACGACACGATCCAGTCGCCGTCATTCCCGTCCTCCCTGGCTTTGTTCAGTTGCTCTCGCTTGGCCTTGGATCGAGCCCTGATGAGCGGGACGAGGACGCGATTCCGATATTCGATCAACTCGTAGAACTCCTTCCACCGCTTCCGGAGCAGGAGCTTGGTCAGCCGCGGCCAGAAATTGAGCACGTTGAACCGCCGCAGACCCAGAAGCAACCGTGTCATAACCTCCTCAATCTGCTTAATCTGCTGCTCCTCGAGCCTATCTCCGAAGCACATGAGGACCAGCAAGCAGAACATGGCGTACTGGAAGTGGTCGACGACCCGGACGACGCCGCCTGGCTGGGACTTGAGCTCCGCCACGAGGATGTCGAGGACCCACGCGCGGGCGCCGGAGTAGGACCGGACGCGGGAGGGATGGAGGATCTCCGCCGTGAGGTTCCGGCGGAGGAGGCGCCAGGTGGGGCCGTAGGAGGAGGAGCTGACGTTGTGCTGATTGGCGGAGAGGACGCGGTCGGCGGCGAGGGGCGGCGGGCGGTCGGCGAAGACGGCGCCGCGGTGGACGAGGGCCTGGTGGGCGAGGGCAGGGGAGGAGACGAAGACGGCGGGGCGGGGGCCGATGTGGAGGGTGACCATGTGGCCGTGGCGGGCGTGGAGGGAGCGGAGGACGGGCTCGATCTCCGACAAGGACTTGCGGAGCCATAGGAAGTTGCCGACGAACGGGAAGGCGAGGGGGCCCGGCGGGAGGCTCTTCCTCCTCCCGGCGGGGGAGGAGAGGAGGTTGACGGTGGCCCTGAGGAGGGCGGCGACGGAGAGGGTGACGAGGACGAGGAACCAGAGATCCATCTCTTGCCAAAGCGACTCTTGCGTTTTTGAGTTTTGAATAGATGGAGGATTTGCAGAGAAAGACGTGGCGATTTGCTTGTCTCATATGAGATTCGAGATAAGGCGACAACTTAGCCACCACAAATCATACTGGATTACTTTCCCTTTTTTTTTTTGGTCAGAAATGGATTATTTTCTTTTTGGAGTAAGAAAATGGATGACTTTCTAGTATTCCAATTTTAGGTCGAGTTTAAATTTTCGTATTCCTCATAAAAAGCATTTACTTTAGCTCGTATCTCAATTCTAGCCTAAGCTTTTTTTTAATCATAAAAAGCATTGAATTTCATTGGTATCCAAATTTACCCGTACACTTGAAATGACACATCGGAATCTTTAATGGCATCATTAAAAGAGAATTTAACGAGAACCAGATTTGGCTACCGATTGAAAGTACAAGACAACAAAAAGTTTAAGCCAAAATTGAAACCCAACCTAAAATTGATGCATTTTATTCGACATAAAAAATGTTTAAATCATATTTGGGACGTGAACTAAAGTTGATACTATTTGCGAGACAACAAAATTTGGGTCAGAATTAGGACCTGATCTAAAGTTGGTGCTTTTAAAGAGAATTAGGCATCTTAGGGCGCGCATGGTAACATTTCTGTTCCAGAAATCAATTTCTGGCCACATAGATTTTTCTATTTCTATTCCGTGGACGAGTTTCTAAGCAAAAATGCGTGTTTGATAATGACACAAAATTTCTGTTTCCGAAATAGAAATTCGTTTGATAACGACACAAAATTTCTCCCTTCCGGGCTGCTGGCGGCGGGGGGCGGAGGACGGTGGTCGGCGATGGGAGGCGGCAGGTCGACTACGGGAGGCGATTGGCGCCAAGCGGCGGCCAGCGTCGGGTGGTGGAGCGCGTCGGCCAGTGGTGGCTGTCAAGGGCAGAGGGCGGCCGAAGGCGGAGCACGACGGTCGGTGGAGGGTGGCCACCCGAGGGGCGACCGGCAACGGGAGGCGACAGGCGGTGGAGGGTGGCCGGAGGCAGAGCACGGCGATAGTGGGTGGCCGTCGGCCACCCGGGGGGCGACTGGCAGCCGGAGGCGGCAGGCGGTGGAGGGCGGCCGGCGCAGCCGAGTGACGGAGCACAGCGACCATCGGTTGAGGATAGCGGCCGGTGGCGAGTGACGGCCGGCGTCAGGTGGCGAAGGACGCTGGTCAGCTGTAAGAGGCAGCCAACGGTCGCGCGAGCGTTGACCGTCGGGCGATGGCGGGAGCCGGCCAACAGGTGGTGGCGAAGAATGGCGGGAGGCGACGGTGGGCGGGTTGCAGCCGGAGTTGGGCAGTGGTGAACGATGAAGGATGGCGGTGGGAGGAGGCGGTCGGCGAAGGACGCCGACGGTGGGTGGCTGACGGTGGGAGGCGATTGACGGCAGGAGGTGGACGGCGGTGGTGAGAAGCGACTGGCGGCAATAGCGAGTGGTAAGGGGGTGGCTGGCTAGTAGAGAAGGCGAGCTATAAGAAGAGTCTTTATTTCTCATTTCTGTTCCAGAAATAGAAAAGTAATTTTTTTTTACTTCTTATTTCTGTTCCAAACCTATTTTTGAAATAGAAAAATGAAATTGCGTTACCAAACGGATTTCTGTTCCAAACCTGTTTCTGGGAACAAAAAAATAGAGAAACAAAAATGATTTCATGCGTGCCCTTAGTATCAGTAGCCGATTTTCTCTGGAAAATGATACTTTCACAATTAAAAACTCTTTTTTCACAGTTTTTCACATTTTATGTTTTGATTAACTAGTTTTTACTCAAAAACTCATCCTCATTTTTCATCAGAATTCTCGAAAAATATATAGACAAAGATACCCTCTACCGACTTACCAAAAAAAAAAAAAGATACCCTCTACCAAATTGGACAAATAATCAAATAAGTCTACCTTACCTTTTTTCTTTTCTGCCATTGTCTGTTTTCGTTATTTAATAATATTATAATCTTAAAACGAAAAGATTTACCTATAAGTTAATATCATAGGTTATTTTTTTTTAACTTTTTCAATACCACATAATTACAATTGTACTTTACATTTAGCATATATTGTTCAAGACAAACTATATACTCTATACAAGCAATAAGCTATACTTTTCAATTTAGACATCTTTGATAATTTGCTCAATTCGGTGGATGTTATTCTTGTCTTTCTGATATTCAAGAATCCTCATGAGATTGTTAACGAGTTGTTACTGGCGAATTAGTCCAGTGGAAACATAAGAGTATGAGAAAAGTTGGGGGAGAAGATTTTTTACAGATGAAAATGTCATTACCCTTTTCTTTTCCCTCTTTTATTGAATGTAATAGTGTTAGGCGTGGTCTGATCAAAATAGATATGTCGAATGATGTAATAGCCTAATAAGTTCCATCGAGTGTCTTGTTGGATATAAATAATTATATTAAAATTTCACGTGCTCGCATACTTTTGCAAATCAGTCTGACTCTATTTTATTCGAGCATGGCACTCAGCTTTCGAATGTCCTACTTCATCCAGAAATGTCGACCCATTGGTCAAGAGTGATCCTCCGCACTGATTTGATACGATTCGCAAGAAATTTGCATCATTGCCACGTCTTTCGGCGGAAGTGAAATCCGAGATTCATGGCTCTCGGGAGACTAAGTCAAAATTGGCTAGTTCACTTTCTTGGGAGTTAAGTCATGGTGGTTGTACAGAAAATGTAATTTGGTTTTGTTGAATATCGTCAAACAACATCCAATAATGCGTGGCCAAAGACCAGCCAAGAAGGACACGGAAATTCACAGCCAATAATAATGGTGGATTCCATCTGATGGCCTCTCACTTTCAATCCTTGTTTTGGCTCTCCTTTCTCGCTTTCTGAATTGTCTCGTCTTCTTGTCTCTTGCCCTTTTCCTTTCAAGCTGCAATCGATGGGAGCAGAAATTATTGTTTTTGGGATCGTCGACCAAATAATGGAACCTTGTTTGTACCGTTGTACAGTCTTCCGCGCATGATGGTGGTGGGAGTCTATCGTTTTGTGGGGACATCTCGTCCCTGACGACGAAAAGAAGGCATGGGTTCTTGACAAGAACATCCGACAAAGTTTGGCAAGAGGTCGTGCGTTGTAGAACCAGACCGAGTGGCCATGAATTACATGCGATAAAGCTGAGGAGCTGTTCTGGTTTGACTGTGAGGTTGTTGCATTGATTTTAATCTGAGAAACTGCACCCGCTCGCTTTACACGAGTTTTATTAGTGCAGATGATGAAACAACCTTTGCAAAACTTAATTTATGCTCAACCTTACGAGAGTATGCTGAACAATTTCATGAACAGATAGAAGGAATGTGAGTTACTAAGGTCATGTGGAAGAAAACTCAGCTTTAATTTAGCTTGCAAACAAGTTCCTATCACCCGCAGATGATAACAAATCATGCTGCGGTCCGTTTCTTGCTGGTTTCCGTGATACAACATGTCTCGAATGGACTTCCTTTGGCTTTACCTGTGTGTAAAAAGATCAGAGCACCTTCCAAATTCACAGGATTCTTTTCTGGAAGGGGTTCAACAAGTCACTGAAAAGCTATGCGGCATGTAAAATCTCAACGACCTGTGCATGTATATCTCATTGACAAAAGAATCGCGTTAGTTGTTATCTGAGGATTGAAAAATTAGTATCTCGTTTTCTTCAGATAGATGCGGAACAAAAGTGACACGAAAGCAAAAAAAGAAACAAAAATCTTGCAGAAATATTACTCTACTCAGCCCAAAGCATTACACATAGACGTCACTTGTGGTCTGCTCGATCTCGAAAAAATCTGTCAAAGCTTCTTTTCATGTTTTCCTATTGGTGGTTGCGCTCCTCCTGCATGAATAGACAACCCATGTGTCGATCGAGAGCGTCATGTGCTGGCAACAAGATCTTTCTCCATGATCAGTACAAGTCTAATTCCACCATCTCTCCCCCACCTCTGCATATAGGTCAACATTTTCTGATTTTAGCCTTCTAGACATCTGCTGGAGCAAGTATTTCACATTTCTACATGTACGCAATTGAAGAAATATTCCTACAGCTCACCTTCTCGCGGTTGGAGATGCTCTTCTGCTTGTCACGTTCATTATTTGCCGGTGTCTAATCTGCACCACACAGGAAGCAAGGTGAAATTGAGAAAGGAGCAAGTGCAAGCTGACTGCCCATTATCAGCTTAGCACATTCCATCGCATTCTCAGAGATAGCTCTCTGCTTTTCTTTTCTTTTTTAAAGCGTCAAAGTTACAAAGTACTTTCAGAAATAACAAGACCACTCATGTTCTAATTGCCAATAATTTTTTCAGCAAATATAATTTGCCCACCGCCCCTTTAGAAGACAAAGAATGATCATGGCTATGGAGGTTAAGGTTTCTCTTGCCAAATCTGATATAGAAGGCAGTCCACATCAACTTCACATTTAGATTCCGAACTACCATGTTTGAACAAGAAAGATACATAATGGAATAAAAAACCAGGATAATTGCTCCAATAATGAAAATATTTGCTTCTGTTAATTCTCATAGTTCACAAGGAAACCCGTTTCAATGGGAACACTAAAGTTCACTTGAAGCGATGAGTGGAAAGACACAGTTCTGCTCTGCTACATCTTTCTTATACATGAACCAGAAGTGTTTGACCAAAAAAAAAAACCAGAAGTGAAGATTTTTTCAACAAATAGCTTATATAAATAGACAGCACAAAGAGGTTCAAAGATCAGCCATATTTAAGTTCTACATCAATCAAAATGGTGAAAGCACATGCCTTTGTGGGAATGACCATTTTTTCATGGGAAAGCTATCAGTTTCTGCACCACCATGCGAATTATAGAATTGGAAAAATGAAAAAGCATATCTGGAAGAACTTGCAAGACTAGTGTGATTAAAAAAATTACAATGGACAAGCTGTATACGGTGGATAGAATCCTTTCAAGATACAGAGCAGCGTATCAACACCCACAGCTGTCCAACAAATCGTGAGGCACGATGCATGAGCTTTCAAAGTTAGATAGATTGAGCATACTACATATGCTGAGGAATTGTTCCTATGATACATAATTGCATGTGCCTAGCAGAGTGCAGAGGCAAACAGCAAAAGCATTCGGGAGTCATGCCAAAGCATGACAAGCAAGTTCAACTTATCGAAATCTCAAGATAGCTTGCCCCCTCATTCTTTCCCCTGAATACAGAAAATAGGAACACTTCCATAAGTAGCTATTGAATCTTGGTATCAATGCAAACTTGGGTCAGTTGAGCTATAGTACCACATCTAAAAACTACAACTTGCAATGGTTTTAAAAAACTCCTCCTAACAGAACAAGCGAAAAAATTTATAGCGAGACAAGAGAACACAAAAATGCAATTTAGCAATTTGATACGTGGCTTGGCCACAAGAAGACATCCAGGGTTAGGGGAGAGAAGACACTCACGCTACAGTTATATTGTGCAAGATAAGAAAGTACTCCCAGTACTAAAGCCCCTATATACTGTGTTTCTCACAAATTCACTATTTGAGTTATTGCCCTTGCTTGCTTAGCAACTACGGTGGGCGCTTTCTCTGTGCTTTTTGCCTCGAGTATTTTGGGTCCTAATGCCTTTTGCCTTTGAGGCTTTGACAACGTTAGGCCAAATGGACAAAGTGATTCAAGGGGTACACTGGACTACCAATAGTATAAATTTCACCATCAAGTGGCTTGCACGAGAATGAACTGGAACCTAGCATCTTCGGTTCTAGAAAAGTTCAACCCAGCATAATTATTGTAAACAAATGATACAATCATGTTGGTGTCCCTTGACAGAAGTACATAGTAAATCAAACTTGGAGATGAACAAAATCAACAAAAACGTAAACACAAGAAGCCCAAAGCAACTTAGTTTTCAAATGACATTCAGGAGATTTACCTGCATTGGCTCAAGAGTAGGTTGCAATTCAGCCCTCCTCATTCCTTCCAATCAAAGATCCTACATCAACCTGTACACAAGATAAAAGGAAATATTATGTATCCTTCAAAAACCACCGCATAGAACAAGCATGCTAAGCAGCAATAACAGCCGAGAGCAATAAAATGTGAAATAAACAAATTGTCTACCTTGCCTTCACCTTTCTCAATCCCTGTATGAGTTAGACCAAACTATGCCCTGGAACCTTGGACGCAGTGGTTTGATCCATCAATTGTCTCAACCTCTCAGCATCGTTAAACCTTCCAGCACCAGCAAAGACATTGTACATAAGCACATAATCCCCTCCATATCCTCTCTCTATCTCCAATATCCTCTTGGTGGCCCTCTCAGCCATCTCGACATCACCATGAAAGCTGCAGGCACCTAGAAGTGTCCTCCATATGACCACATTGGCAATCTCTCCAGGAACCTCCAGAGCGACTTTTTCCGCTTCTTTCAGCCTCCCTGCCCTTCCTAGCATGTCTACCAAACTCCCATAGTGCTTAATGTCTGGCACAAGTTGATAGACATTAACCATCTTCTTGAAAAATCTTAACCCTTCTTCAACCAACCCTCCATGACTGAAAGCATTCAAAACGCTCAAGAAAGTCACTTGGTTCGGCTTCAAACCACCACTCTCCATTCTGTCAAAACTCTGAGCAGCTTCCTCTCCCATACCATGCATTGCAAATGCAGAAATTAATGATGTCCACGATACCAAATTTTTCCTCGCATCCATTATCTCCTCGAAGAATTTTGATGCACTCATAATGCATCCACATTTGGAATACAAATCAATAAGGGAATTCACAACACGAATATCGGATGAATTAAATCCTCTTTTCTCACCATAGCAATGAGCAGATTGGCAAACTTTCACAGACCCAATGTTGGCAATGGCTGGAAAGATGGTCAGCATAGTTATCTCAGACGGGGTAATACCATCATCCGTGACCATTTTTCTAAACAGATGAATGGCTTCATTAGGCCGATTCGTTCGTGTGTAACCATCAATTATTGCAGTCCAGGAAACAACAGTCCGCACGGGCATCTCCTCAAAGAGCGAACGAGCAAGGTCAAGGCGACCCCATTTCGTCAAACCACTGATCAAGACGTTCCACGTAACAGGGTTTCTCTCGGGCATACCGTCGAACACTTTCCCCCCCTCACCTACAGACCCACAAGCCACGTACATATAAACCAAAGCCGTTTGCACGTAGACATGGGACTCAAAACCCAGCTTCAGAGTCAGCCCATGGAGCTGAACTCCTGGAACGGTGCAGCCCAAGCCGACGCAAGAGTTGAGAAGGAAAGTGTACGTGAAGCTATTGAAGGAAACAGAGGAGGAGGCAGAAAGAACGCCGCTTTGGCTGTCTTTGTAGAGCAAGAAAGCTTCAAGAGGGAACCGATCAAGCGCATAACAACGCAGAAGGGCGTTGAAGAGAAGCGTCGCCGCAGACGAGGAAGACTGCTCTCGGAGCAGCAACCCAGAAGCGACGACGCGACCGTGAACCTGCAGCGCGACCCGGCGGCTCCCGCCGTGCCTTCGCAGCAGGGAGAGCAGCCGTTTCGGCAACGCTTCTCGCCTCCGCTCTCGAGGGGTTCGAACGGCCGGAGCTCCGGTGGAAGACGAGCGGCGACGGTGACGGAGAGACGGCGTGGGAGCGGTCTCGAGCGTCCGTTTTGCTCTCGCTGGCGCAGGGGACGTGGGGTGGAGGAGGGAAAGGAGCTTCATTTGAAATGTTGTCCTCAATCATATGTGGCTATCGTTTGTTTCCGCAGTCTCCCTTTGGGCAAATTGATGTCGATTTTTGTGGGTTCCTCCACGCATGGAGTTTCGCGTGAATCTCATAAAAATGAAAGGTTGTAGTTGATCTCGTCGGGATAGGAACAAAAAATAGTAGACATATTAGATCATCATGGACCTCTGTATTTGATCCAATTAGAATTGGAATTAGGCCGTTCATATCCGATGTTTAGCGACGGGCTTTGCTTCATTACTTCTTTGACGTACGCGTTTTTTCTAGAATACATGGAAATTATAGCTGATGAGATGGATTGAAGCACCTCTTACGCGTCCCAATTCTCCCGTTTAAGTTTGTATGATCTCATTCTAATATGACACGCGATAAATCGCACGTGCAGAGATATATCTTCTTACTCGAAACCGGTCGAGATGCTTCCAAGTTTTGCATCTCTAGTTTCTCGGCTCGAACATTCTAAGCAGATGCAAAAGATTTTTTATTTGGCAATTAAATAATGAGCATTGTGAGGGATAAGATCCATATGACATGTTGCAGCCAGGACCTGAAAACTTAAAAGGGAGCCATACTCATTCACATCAATTCATAGTACCAATTTTGCATGAGGTGTGTATATTCTCTTTCTCTAAGCCCCGTTCTTTCCAAATTAATGCGATTCGGATTGATTGGCCTTTAACTTTATCCAGACCTGTCAAAATAGGTCATAAATTCATTTCTTAACTCATATTTAATGGACTGAGTTGCCATATGAATTAGTTATATTCCATAAATATATCATAAATGAATCAATAATATAGGTGTTAAATGGATTCAAAATTTATCTATATTCAACTCGCATTTATAATTCTCTCTTGATCTTGTTCGATCTTGTGCTCGTTTCATGCTTTCACCTTAATTTGAATATAAGTTTAGTATTTTAGCAATATGGGTAGGATAAATTATGAATCGAATTGGATATAGACCACCAAATATGTATAAATTGGATCGGACCATTTTCGATCGGGCTCGATTTGATCCACCCGTGTGACGAGCCCAACCTCATAATTTTACCTAATGTACCCTTGAGGAGAAGAAGATGATGATTAAGAAAACGTTGGGAGACAGAGCACACGTGACTGTTTTGTTGACTGCAACTCCAGCCACAGAGCATCAGAGAGAGAGAGAGAGAGAGAGAGAGAGAGCGACTGTGCACAAAACAGCTCGCCTCCTAAACGAGGGAAGAAAGCCCCCATCCTCCTCCTCCTCCATTGAAGAAGAGACCTTGCTCCAGCTGTTCCGACAGCCCAACAAAATCCAACCTTTCCATTCATACGCCCATCTGTTGATCGATCAAACATCTGTAGGAAAGCGCATCGCTCGCTCCTTCTCTCTGCTCTGCTCAAAACAGAGCAAGATCTTCTCTGTAGGGGAAGCAGGCAAACGGGGGTCGCGCCCATCAAGAACCGCCGGAGCTAACCCACCAAGAAGAGACAAGAGTTTCCCGCATGGCGGACACCCTCTTCTCGAGCCTCTCCGACGACGTCGTCCTCAACATCTTCTCCAAGCTCGAGGGCGACCCCCGCCACTGGGCCCGCCTCGCCTGCGTCTGCACCAAGTTCTCCTCCCTGGTCCGGAACGTCTGCTGGAAGGCCAAGTGCTGCGCCGCCATCCCCTCCGTCGTCGCCGACCTCGCCGGCGCCGCCTCCGCCTCCGCCGCCTCGCCCCCCGGCGGCTGGTCCTCCCTCCACAAGCTCGCCGTCTGCTGCCCTGGCCTCGTCCACGCCGGCGTCCTCCTCGAGAACTCCGACTTCGGCCTCGAGCGCGACCTTGGCCCCAACGAAGATTACTCGAGATCGGATCGCCCCCGACCCGATTCTTGCTCCTCCGCCGCCGCCGCCTCCTCCTCGAGTAAGTGCCGTGAGAATTCGGAACCCGTCGATAGTTGTCCTTGGTCTCTGTACGATGATCTGTACTTTGATACTGTTTACAATACGTCCGAGTCGCAAGAGGGTGTGCGATGGGGGGATGAGGATGTGGCTGTGGAAACAGGGTATGTGAAGGTGGGTGGATATGGCAATGCGTGCAAGAGGAGGAAAATTTGGCGGTCGATGCGGTCGCATTTGGCATCCAGCGTTTGGAATTTGTGCCGGGAACAGGGGATTAAGCTGCTCGCGAGCCGGTTCCGAGGAGACTGCCTGTACATCTGTGACTGGCCTGGCTGCGTCCACATCGAGGAGAAGAGGAATTACATGCTTTTCCGTGGGGTGTTCAAGAATTTCAAGCGGTCCATGGTTTGGAGGACGATAAACGATGGGAATAGGAGCAAGATCAACTTGAATTGTGCCTTCTGCTCGTGTAAGGAGACTTGGGACTTGCACTCTGCCTTCTGCTTGAGGCGGAGCTACGGGTACCATGACGATGGCGAGCCGGTTGTTCGAGCTTATGTCTGTGAGAATGGACATGTCTCTGGGGCGTGGACCGACTTGCCACTTTATACTTGATGGCTACCTTCCTGTGTCGGTCTCTATTCCTGCCTTATTGTCTTTGATATTGTGTTGTTGTTTAGCAGTGCTTAGCTGATTTATGTTTGCTTATCTATGATTGATCATGTTTGTTGCAATTTTATCTTGTTATTGTCAATTCAAGATGGATACTGTTAAATGTATCTTTGGTTCAAATGTAATATCAGATTGGTATGACCGGGCTGCTAGTGTCTGTGGTATGAATTTATTATAGCAGGATTGGTGTTGTTTTACAAGTTGGTGGGTTAATTACTGTGACAATCAGTCTGGAAGTTCCCGATTTTAGAGATCAATGCACCGATGCACGCAAATAAGGATAGGCTTTGCTGGTTCAGAAGTTCTACCTTTATTATCACGACCTCACTTCTAAAATTGATGATTGTTTCTAAAGAGTACTTGGGTATTTAAAGATATGTACATTCTGCTGAATGTTGTTGCTTCCATGTTGTTAATTGAACCTCTGAATTTTGGATAATCTTCACATAATCGTCTTAGCAGTTGCGTGTTTTAGTTCAATGGTGCGATTGGAGAAATGGAAGAAATCGCTGGTGTTCTCTGGTACTAGGGAAACATATTGAGTGTTTACTGTTTCCTGAATCTAAGAAGAATACCTCATGGATATGAGTTTGTGCTTACATCCAAGATGAAAACAGAGAAAAAAGAATAACAGTCGTGCAGTATCAAACGTATATGTTGTTGGCCAAGGATGGTCTTGCTTTTATGTCCATATTGCTGATTTGCCTGATCTGCCGAGCTTGTATGCTCTCTTCATAGCTAGAATTAACTGTGGAGAACTCATTGCGCAATAAAAAAGTTTGATGTGTTCAAAGGCAACGTCTGGCTAAGGGTTTGTAGCTTGACAAACACAAGTTTCAGAAGATTATGGTATATGCTAGGGGTGATTTGGTTCGGTTGTTGGACAGAGAATATGGAAGCTTTTGTTGGTAATGAGGGCATATTGCTGTCCTTCTGGTGCATAAGACTCTGGTTATGAATCTACAGCAGCATTGCACTGTTTTGTGTGAGTTGCTTGTTAATTCATTATTATATAATGATGTCTGGGACTTTTCCAATGTAGAGATCAATGCATGGAGCTACAAAAACAAGGATACACTTTGCTGCTACAGAGGTTGTACCTTTGTTGTCACGATCTCCAGTCTGATTCTTGATGATTTCGAGTAAAGAGCATGTGGTTTTTCAGGAGACGTGGATTTCCTGCTGAAAGTTATTGCTTCCATGTTGTTCAATGAGCCCTGCAACTGTCTTCACACCATCTTCTTCGCACTTGTCGTGCTGCATAGTTTGAGGGGGCGTTTGTAGAAATCGAGAAGTTCTCGTGTTCCTCGGTGCTCCGAAAAACTGTTTCGAGCGAACCTCTTTTATGAATCCGACGAGGTGGTGCTGCGAACGCCTTGTACATGTGAGTTTGTGATTTTCTTGTTGGCCATGGATGGCCATGAAGAGATAATGTCACCACAGGTGCTTGGAACTTCTTCACGCACATAATCGCACATGGTGAGCGAGAGAGAGAGAGGGGGTGGGTAGGGGTTGTTGTTGGGATTTTGGCATCCAAATCTCATAGAATTGAATTCAGAAGTGTCGTGGATGAAAGTGTCCTACATAGATAGAAGAGGTGATGGGAGATGGTTTATTTTGAGGTATATTTCCTCAAATGAGTTTGGGCTCCAAAGGGTACCTCACTTTTGTGGGAAGAGAGAGGACCTACGCTGAGCCGGTCGTTTTCCTGCAGGCGCCGCCAACAGGCTGGAGTCCAAGGGCTGCTTTCCTTTGAAGAAGTATCGCCCATTGGGAAAGTCGATCCGTTCTATCCTGGAAGGCAATTGTTCAACAACCTGGGTACTCCCAAGAGGGGACAAATTGTCCTCGTTGTGAGCAGCAGAGGGAGCATCGTCGTAGTAAGGAACATTGCTCTGATTAGATCAATGTTAGAATGAGTGAAATAATAAAGGGTAAATTTTTTTTTCACTGAAATAAAGTTCTAAGGAGTGTTTTTGAAATAATTTTAGCAAAACCTTATATCAGTGTTTCACTTAGAATAAAGAACTTGATTTTATTAAGGGTTAATATCACAAAAAACCCTAAACTGGTATACTTGTGAAAGATTTACCCCAAACTATTTTTTTTACCATAAAAACCCCAAACTGGTACATCCGCGACAATTTGATCCCGAACTATTTTTTTGACTACCAAAAACCCTAAACCCGACACTCTTGTGACAATTTTACCCGAACTAATTTTTTAATATTTTTTTTTTTCGAATTTTTTTAGTTTTTCTTTTCTTTTCTTTTCTTTTTCCTTTCCTTTCCTTTTTTTTTTTTTTTCCTTTTTTAGTTTGAAAGCAGAGCCAGAGCAAAGGAGCCGCCGTCGTCGTCCCAAATGGTAAATAAACGCCTGCAATGTCCGCCATTCCCGCTCCTCCCCTCCCTACTACTCACCCCGTCTCGGCGTCCTCTTCCGTCGTCCCACCGCGCCACCACCCTTCCCACGTCTCTCCTCCGCCGGTACCCGGCAACACCTTCCCCATCACCACCTCCTCTGCTCTTCCTCCCTCTCCTCCGCAACCTTCGCTTCCCACCCCTCCTCGCTCTTCATGGATCGAATCCCTCCGCTCCCTAGCCAGGTTGAACCTTTTCCGGGACACCGTTTCCACCTACACAGACATGATGGCTCTCGCCGGTATCCCTCCCAACTAGTTCGCTTTCCCTGCCATCCTCAAGGCCGCCGCGGGCCTCTGGGACCTCAATCTTGGGAGGCAGATTCACGCCCAAGCTGTTAAACTTGGGTATGAGCAATCTTCCGTTACCGTGGCCAATACCCTGTTGACCATGTATGACAAGTGCAGGGACATCGGGAACGTCTTTAAGCTGTTCGACAGAATACCTAAGAGGGATCAAGTTTCTTGGAACTCTATGCTCGCGGCACTGTGTCGGGATGAGGAGTGGGTTCTTGTGTTGGATTGCTTCCGTTCGATGGTGGCGGAAAATTTGGAGCCCAGCTCCTTCACTTTGGTGAGTCTGGCGCTCGCATGCTCAAACCTGCTGCGAGGCGATGATGGCTTAAAGCTCGGGAAGCTGGTTCATGCTTATAGTTTGAGGAAAGGGGATTGGAAAACGTTTACCAACAACTCTTTGATGGCTATGTATTCAAAGTTGGGAAGGGCGGGCGACTCAAGGGCTTTGTTTGAATCGTTTGAAGACCGTGATATGATTTCATGGAACACCATCATAAGCTCGTTAGGCCAAAATGAATGCTTCTTGGAAGCTTTGATGCTCTTAGTTCGCATGGTTCGTGATGGAATTAGTCCTGATGGAGTAACGATAGCCATCCCCCGCCTCCGGCTGATCGCCGGACCGGCGACGGGCCAGAGGTTGAGGATGAATGAAAAAAAAAGGAAAGGAAAGGAAAAAGAAAAGATAAGAAAAACTAAAAAAATTCGAAAAAATAAAAAAAATATTAAAAAATTAGTTCGGGGTAAAATTGTCACAAGTGTACCAGGTTTAGGGTTTTTGGTGGTCAAAAAATAGTTCGGGATAAAATTATCACAGATGTATAAGTTTGGGGTTTTTTATGGTAAAAAAAATAGTTTTGGGTAAATCTGTCACAAGTGTACCAGTTTAGGGTTTTTCGTGGTATTAACCCTTTTATTAAAGGTCATGAGTTCTCACTCGGGTGCACATTATAAATAGTCATTTTTTTTATCTAATTATTAATCCGAATAAGTAATTTAAAGAGCTTTCGATAAAATTGAGTACCCAAAGAAAGATAAATAATTAAAATCGTTAAAGAAAAGTGAAAAAGGAAAAAAGAATTTACTAAGATATTCAACATAAATAAGAGTTGGACGCCGTTGTGCCACGAGGAGCTAAGGGATAATTGCACAAATGGCCTCTATGAAATGTTCAATGTAGTTCATAAACTTTAATCCAATGTGCAATGTGATCCCTTGACTTTTAATTTGTTCAATGTGGTCCATGAACTTCTGTTAAATGTTCAATCTAGTCCCTAAATTAGTATATCCCTGGATTCAATGTAATCCCTGGATTATCTAGTCCAGAAACCAAATTGAGCATATACAAAAGTTCATATATCACATTTAATAAATTCAAAGTTTAAGGACCACATTAAATAAATTTAAAGTTTAGAGATCATATTGCATGAAGTTTAGAGACTACGTTAAATATATTAAAAGTTTATGGACTATATTACGTGCCGAGACAAGGTTAATGAATTATTTGTATCATTTTTTCATGAGCTAACTAAACTGAACTGGGGAAGCCTGCGTCAAGAGTTCTGTGGGGGCAGAGCGTCGATCGAGGGGTCAGAGAGAGATGCTAAGAGGAGAAGCACTGAGCGCATACAGGGCGCTGCTGCGGGCCACGCGGAGGACGTTCGCCGGAGACGCCATGATGCTGTCGCAGTCGACGGTGGAGATCCGGAGCAAGTTCGAGGCCAACCGCCACGTCGCCTCCGAGGCCGACATCCGCCGCCTCCTCGACCACGCCCGCGAGGCCTCTCGTTTCATCTCCACCATGATCGTCCAGGCCAAGCTCGATTCCAACGGCGCTTACGGTATCGCCTCTTGGCTCTCTCTCTCTGTCTCCCTCTCTCCCCTCTTGCCGATAAATGAATCTGCGATGCGAGCTCGTCGGTGTCTTCTTCTTTTTGGCTCTTTTGAATCTCGTTGGGTTGTGCCGTCCACGCGTTCGATGAAATGCTCGTGTGGCTCTGCTCGCTGGCCTTCCTTCTCGATGTTTTTGGTTCGTTGTCTGTTTACGATCTTCATTGAATGATACCGTCAATCATAGATTTCGCATCGAGTGCTGATTGCTGTTGGGTATCGCCTACGGTTCGATAGAAGTGAATCGTTCACAGAGAAACCTTAGGGACGCTTATCTCGAATTGATGCATATCTCGTTTGTTAGATTGCTGATTGAATAAACCGTTCCGTTTGTCTCTGGAATCGATAGAGGTGACCCGAAGGATCTCGTTGGTATGCGCATCAAAACGAGTATGATGAACCGTAGGGACGCTTGACAGACAGTAGGGATGATTCTTCCAATCAGGCCAGTCTTTACATGTGCAATTCTTCATTTTTCTTCAACTTGTCAGTCTCGGTTTTTCTTTTAAGCATTGGAGTCTTCCACATACACAGAGAACCGCAACGAATTTATGAATAGACAAACGGGTTAGCTGCAACAGTTACCCGCTTATACGTATGTACCTGCTAACACGCAAAACTTTGATAGCTTCCACACACCCACACCTCAGTGATTGCCTTCACTGTGTTGACTAAATGGTAACGGTGCTTGGAACTATAGGAGTAATTTCTTTTTCAAGAAAAAGCATGTCCTCTTATGCTTGATAATATTCCAGAGGCAGGGGGTTGTAGCCAATTGGTCTTGGGGATGGTAATATTTGCTTTACCTGTCCAATCCCTCCGAGACATGGGAGAGGCCTTTCCCTCAACAAATTCCAGCTCCCAGCTCGTCACAAACCAAAGATGGAGGAATAATTTGTGCTCAAGTTTATGTGTGGGCCTCTGTTGTTGCGCGTATGAAGTTGAACTATCATGCCAATAGTATCTCCAGGGTTATTTAGGATAAGATGTGTGGGCGCTTGTGTGAAAAAAATGTTGCATGCCTCTTGGATTGTATGTACCTGGCCTGTCTCAATGTTTATATAGTCGAAAGCATACATCTTGGTGGCTGTCAAAGCCTGAATAAGTTCAGTCACCTTACTTTAACATTTGGTAGGATATGGTCCTAGCAATACCGTTTTATAATGTTTATTTTTTTCATTTTAAAATTGAAGCCTCGAGGCTTTATCACTGAGCCTACTCTTCAGAAGTGTAGACAATGGCAAATAGTAGGGTAGGAAGAAAAGCAGCCAAAAGAAGAGAAGAAAAGGAGCAAAAACTACTGGATTAAGCAAAGAAAATGTAAATAAATAGGCAGAAGAGGAAAAAGGAAGACCATTAGAACAATGCTCAGAATCCAGTCAAAGAAAAAAAAGATTGCTCTATGAAATAGAAAGCCAGGATCTTTCATCCGTCATGTTGATGTAATTCAGAAAAAGTTAGATCTTTCAGCCTGTCTTTCACTGTATGCTGGGTAATACATATTTAGAGACTAAAGAGTATCTATTTGTTAGAATAAAAGTTTGGACTAGCGTAGATAAACTAAGCACAGAAAAACCCAACCTACAGCTACTCAACCCTCTCTTCATCTCTCTCTGGCAGCCACCACCCACCTTAAATTAGCTTTCCAGCACAGCTGACCCGCCGATCTGCCGACTCAAGCCGCCATGCCAATGACGCCTCTTTGCTCCAGCCAGGGCCATTGAGAGCGCCAATTTTCTATATCTCTCTAGCTCTCTTCTAGATCATAGAATGCCTGACATCTATTCAATCAGATTTCGGTCATTAATGAAGACCTCCCACAGTGTGAAGACATGACAACCTTGATGGTCTCTAAATCGTGGTATGATAGCAACTCAACTCTTGTCCAGAGAGAGAGAGTCGCTGGTGCCCATAGTGACTGAAGGTGGGAGTGGCACCACTGGGTGGCGGTGGCAGTTAGTGGCTAGAGGGTGGAGAGAGCAAGAGATTGAGGATCTGCAGATTAAGGATTTTATTATTTTATAGATTAGGGGATTTCATGGTTAGTGGATTAACTATTTCATGTCAAGAAGTAGATGCAGCGTCCTCTCGAATAAGCGGTAAATTGAATGTTAATCATCCTCTAAACTGAGAGGTTCCCTATACTCGATAAAAAAAAATTATTGGTTGCAGCGAGTAATTGGTGAAACAGAGATATGAGTTTTTCTTTTGGGGGGGTCGACAAACAGAGATATGAGTTGAGGAGGAGATTGTTCAAATATTGATGCCTTTAGGCAAATTCAAAAGGCTGAGATTGGCCATTTACCATCTCAAAACAAAGGTAATGTTGTCTTTTGACGAGGACCTGTAGGAGTACTCAAGAGTGTCTTCTTTGTCTATGGATTGTTCTCTTTTGTACGAATAAAGAAGATTCTAGCACTTGCTTGTGGTATTCTCCCCCTTTCAACTTGAGGTTAGCATTCCATCTTGATGGTCCAGACATTTTGCTCTCTACTTTTTCTGTGTCTTTCTCGTATCTAATCTAAAGTTTGTCTACGCCCTCTCCAAATAAGAAACGATGCAAAGAAAGTGAAGTTTGAAAAGTTGCATAAGTGAATGTGTAACCACTTATTAATTATTTTGCTTGTCACAGTGGTGAAACCATCTAAAGAGCATGCTGGGGCAACCCTTGAAATTCCTTCAGAAGAACTCTTGCAGAAGAAAGTATGAGGAAGGAGGCCCATTTTCATAGAGACATTAACACCCAACGTGAGCTTTCTGAGGAAATGATATTTGATAGATTTCATGACGCTGGAGGATCGATGCAAATTGTTTCCGCTGTCGATGTTTTGGATGAGAGCCTTCTCTTGTTATACGGATCGAGTGATTTCGAGAACTTTATGTAGACCCATGGGGATTTTTCTTGTGATGAAGTTCTAGCTTGTTTTCCACTGAATGATCGCACCATTGGACCTTATGATTGATCAAGCGCTGCAGAAAATTTCATAAGATCGCGAACACCCTGTTAACTTAACTCTGGAATTACTGGTCCTCCTACATATTCAGGTTAGAGGACCGTTGGACCAAATCCATATTGTTTGTTTGATTTGCATTCTCATTCGGGTCTGTCACCTCGTACCGGCAGTGAGTTTGGGCAAAGACCAGTACCTCAAAAGAGTTGTCTCAAGCAACTTGACACAGTTCTGTGTGTTCCTTGGCCGCACAAGCTATCTATATAGTGATGAAGTTTCGCACGCATGAGTTCATGTGTAAAAACGTTGTGGAGAGTCTGTGTTTAGTATCCCAGGCAAGCAATCTGTGACGAAATTACTCAACCGTATACCCACAAAAGCATCTATCATGCTTCATTCACGTACCTCTTAATTTGTTAAAGAAATGTCGCAATTCAGCCATGGTTCGAACAGATAACTTGGCATACACTCACCACTAGATAAACCCATTACCTTGACATTATCATTGATATTTTCAACCTGTCGAATGTTCGCTATCGTCGCCCGAACATTATACGGAGAATAGGAAGCCAAAACATTCAATAAAAAGAGCATTGCAATCCATGAGTCGAGGCTTATTACTATCACATGTCGGCCACTCGATTTCATGCCAACATTTCTGGAATTGCAGGCACCTGAATTCTTCATAGGAAAGAAGATCCCGGACGGATCTCCATATCCTCAAAGTTCATGAGAAACTCACCTGCCCATTCACATGTCCATCATTTATACTTAAACCTGTATCTTCAGCTCACCTCCATCTCCCTCCTGCTGTATCTTTATTGCACTCACACACCACCCTCTTGCTCATCCGTCTACAAAACCCCCCGTCAAAAAGTCCCAACTTTCCAGGTAAGCCTTGATGAGCCCCTTATAAAAGGGCACACCTCCCACACTTAAATGTTCAATCTCACATCACTCATCACACCTCACTTGGTGATACTATACGGTGTCGTCACGCTTTGGTTTCTGCCACGATAAGAAGTCGTCCGAACCCAAATCTAGACGGTGGCCAGCGTGATGAGTAACTTCCGCGTGCTCCTATTCTTCCTTTGGCTCGCTAACGTTGCCGCTTGGGGTCGTGGACCCAGCTACGTCCAAGAAGCATGCAGCGTGACTCGGTACCGCGACCTCTGTGTCCGGTCGCTGGCATCGTTCTCGAGCAGCGCCAAGAGGAGCCCCAGCAAGTGGGCGAGGGCCGGGGTCTCCGTGACGCTGAGCGAGGTCAAGAACACTGCCCGGTACTTGGAGAAGGTGAAGACTTCCAGGTCGATGAGAGGGAGGAACGGGGCCGCCCTCTTGGACTGCCTGGAGTGCTTCCAGGATGCCGTCGACAACCTCCACAGGTCGCTCGGGGTGCTAAGGAAGTTGACCAGGAACAATTTCGATACCCAGATGAGCGATCTCCTGACGTGGATGAGCACCGCGCTGACCGACCAGGACACCTGCCTGGATGGGTTTGACGGGCAAAAGGGAGGCCAAGCAGTGAAGGCGGTCCAGAACAGGGTCCAGAGGGTCACGTACTTCACCAGCAATGCCCTGGCTCTCGCCAACAAGCTTGCATCCACTGGTGAACCTGCCTAAACAGGAACCTGTAAAATCCCGCGAAAGGTTTATGTTAATCCGACATCATATTACTCACCTAGAAAACTAAGCCAATCTATTCATAAAGAGAAATGTACGCGATGCGACAAGGCGAGGTTCGAGAATCGAACTTGGCCTGCTCAAAGTTCATCCCTTGTTAGTATGACCTGGTTTGAAATGTGTTGATAACAGTATCGTTTGCATAAGTGTAGTCCTATCTGACTTTAATGCTTGCTAAAAGTGCTCGCTATCTATCGGACGCACAAAGAGAGGAAGGCACTCTTTGCCATGAGATAGCGTTGGAAACTTTTTGGTCCAAAAGCACCATTATCTCTAGTCCTCCTCTTTGTCGGACCTACTCCCGAATTGCGCAACCACGACAATTTGGACGACAACTCTTTCGTCTATCCAAGCGACAGAGAGCTTTTCTGAGGCGAGACGTCGATCCGATTCCGATGCCATAAAAATTGCTTCCCACCCTTCTCTCTTCCTTTCTTCTTCACCAAGCGGCCCAACGACTGCCGCCCGCCGTTGCGCCTCCGCTCCTCCCCGTCGCCACCATTGCTCCATCTCCTTTACAAAACCTTCAGCCCCCAGCCACTATCATCTCTAATCGGTGTTGTCCCATCTACTTGCCCGATCGTGTTTCTCTCTGTCTCTTCCATTAGAACACCCGACGACTCTGCGTGTGCATATTTGCGTTCCTAGACAACTTGCAATTGCAAGCCCAACTAATTTCTATTCCTCAAACATGTATTAGTCATCATCATTTCACCATTGCATATCAAACATCAATCGTCTCAAAGATGCATTAAAACCTCAAAGGCAGAAACAACTTAATGAAAACAATTTCATAGAGAGCATTTGTTTCGTTGAAAATTTCAGGGTGAATGAAAATATTTTCTATAGGAATCATTTTCAAGGATAATGCTTAGTTTTTATTTGTTTAGTAATTTAAGGAAAATGATTTCCTTCTTATCTGAAGGAGAAGTTTTTTTTTCCACCGATCTAAGCTTGTTAATTTTCAAATCATGAAATTTTTTTTACGTTGATCTATTAGTTTTCCGTCATCTAAATAACAAAAAGTCGGAAAACAATTCTTCGAAAACAGTTTGCTTCACACAAACGGACCCAAAACTAAGTCTTCATAAATTTTGACAATGTCAAGGACATCACAGAAACAGGGGCTCATTGAAATCAGCCGCCCATCAAACTGGGGGGATGCTACGAGTGAAGACCTCTATTACTCAATAGACATGTGGTCTCCATACATACAGGAGCAATAGGTCAAATGATGATTGCAAATTATCTAAATATCATCACGTGCATCTAAATATCTCGGTCTTAATTAAGTAATAACCATGCATGACGTGACTACTTTTGCCTATAATATAATCAACGTGAAGGAAGCAGGCATGACCCATTGACGCATTATGCAGTCGGGCAAGCATCACTGCTAGCAGTAGTAGTAATACCCTTATCCTTCCCAGTGGATAACCACGGCACGGCTCTTGTCACCTCCCCCCACGCCTCTCTCTCTCTCTCTCCTCCTTCTTTCTTTCGTTTTCCTTTATTAGACTTCCGAGGATAGGCAGTAAATTTAGATCAGTGCACGTTCGGTGATACTCAGGAATTTTCCTAAAGTTCCAACATTCCAATGCAATGTATATTGCGGAGACGATAATGTTTCGTTTGATGTATGGACACATGAGAGAAGACAATGTATAAAGTGAATCTCTTCGGAAGAAGACCTTTAACTAGTATGAAATGAGAGAAGGTTTGGTGAGGTGATTCGGTCATTCGAATACTTTGACAAGGATACATGAGCAAGTAATGGAAACAGGTTGGTGAAAAAGCAGCACAAGTAACCATGTATGCGACTATCTTGAGTTGCGGAAAAAGGTGAAAGGAAAACAAAAGAAGTCGAGAGAGAGAGAGAGAGAGAGAGAGAGAGCGGATGTAACACATCACTGACACCTGCACGGAAGAGAGAGAGAGAGAGAGCGAGAGTTCTGTTTGGGAGCAGTGGTTGCATAAATGGCAGAGCCGAAGGTGAAGTCGCCCTCACCCTCGTCTCTTTGTGCCGTGAAACGCGGACTCCTCCACTCTCTCTCTCTTTCTCTCCTCTTTAACTGGCCACTGCTTTTTCTCTCCTGTTGCTTCGTTTCATCATATCCCTAAACCAAACAGACCCTCCACATTCTCTCTCTCTCTCTCTGCATACCCTCCATCTTTCTTACTTACTTCATTCCAGATTTCGCATCGATCTCTTCCTCGCGATCTTCATCGACGTTAAGCTGGACATGGGCATCTCTGTAAGACCCTATTAGTTGCTCCTGTAGTCTTGCTTTCACCACCATTAAGTATACCGCAGCCTATTTTGTTTTCCCTTTATTTCCGAACATCAAGTCCAGTTTCTTTTGCTATAGATATGGTTCTGCTCTTGTTTTCGCCCCTTTTCTTGAAGGAAAAAGAAACCAGTTTGGGAGTGTTAAGAAAATTCCTTTCCCTCATTTCCCTGTTTTCTGTTTCATGTGTGTAGCATGCATGTAAAATGTGTTGTATGATATATGCTCTCATGTCTTTCTCTAACAAGTCTTTTTTGTGCTCGCGCCGTTGTCTGCACCTGAGCTTCTGTCTCTCTCTCTCAGCAAAGAACTTCATGATTAATTCCTGTTTTATTTGGAGGTGCTGGTGAATGACAGTGGCAGGGTCTTCGAGACAAGAATGATAGAAGCCTAGGAAGAGACAAAAGTAGCAATGATCTTGAAAAACCTCTTCTAGCATTTCTCTGCTATCAGCGGGAGACAAACAAAAAGCTTCTTCCTCTTGAGTGAATTTGATTTACATGTAAATTGCTTAGGGTTCAAGCTGCCTGTGGAAAATTTTGTTTTTATACTGATGATTTACAGGGTAAGTGATTTTTAAGATTAAAGAAATCTTTTTTTATTTGTACAGAGAACAAAAAAGAAGATAAGGGACAATGGATCTTTTCTAAGATAAAGGATTTTCATAAAATGTGTTAGATGAGAATTCGGTCTGTTACTCGCTCTTTTACTTATTCTGTAATGAATTTGATCTTATTGCTGCTCACTAGTCATAACCTATATAATTCCACTTGCTTTTCAGTGTTAATGGGTTGAGTGAATCCTAACATTCAGGTCACTACATGTTATACTATAATAATTGATCGGTTATTTAACAAATTCGAAGGTGACCGAGTTGCAGAAATGATAGAGAGGAACCTCAAAACTATTTTCTGGTACGAATTATAAGGCCTTACAGATCGCAAAGGACATGAAACCATGTTAAATGCACACAACTTAGTAAGAGCAGCGAGACCATAAGAAAGATTGATCTTCCGGTAACAGAGTAATGTATTTGTAGATAATTGAAATGCCTTAAGTTCAGTCAGCTTGTATATGCAATAATTCTGAAACCAGTGGAAAATTCTCTTATTTCGAGATCTGCTTTTTCTTTGTTTGCTCAATTCGTCGTCGACAATGTCGATTTTGTCTCACCAATTTGTCATCTTCAATGTTGATCAGTGGCTGCCTGTACATTGAGGATTCAACTGCTATATTGAAGCTATAAGGGATGGCGACTTCAAATGGCGGATATCTTCATGCCAATAACAATCCTCCTGTCCCCGGCCCGACTCTACTTCCACCATGGCTCTCCAATTCCAATGAGAATCCCACCCTCAGGCCACCCTCCCCATCTGTCACCCTGAGTCTCTCTCCTTCGACAGTTGCCGCCACTCCAATCCCATGGCTCCAACCCCATGCTTCCTCTTTGACTCTAGCCAACTCCCTCTCTCGCGGGCCTGGCCCTGCCTCCGGAGAGAACGCACTGTTCTCTGAGCTCGTGGAGTGCTCGAGGGAGCTGGAGGAAGTGCAGCGCGCCATGGCGGCCCACAGGAAGGAGGCGGCATGGGGGATGAGGAGGACGGAGATGCAGCTGGAGTCGGAGCGGGCCCGGCGGAGGAGGGAGAAAGTGGAGGAGATCGAGGCGAAGATCAGCGCGCTCAGGGAGGAGCAGAAGGTGAGCTTGGAGAGGATCGAGGCGGAATACAGGGAGCAGCTGGCGGGTCTCCGGAGGGATGCTGAGGCTAAAGAGCAGAAGCTGGCCGACCAATGGGCTGCGAAGCACATCCGGCTTTCAAAGTTCGTCGAGCAAATTGGGTACCGACCAAGGGTTGCCGAGCCAAGCGGGCGTTGAGGAATTTAAGTACATTTCGCTTGCTTAGCTGCAATACCCTCCTCTTTCACTGCCAAAAGACCTGTTTGATTGCAATTGTGATAGGTGAAGCATTTCAGGATCTGGCCAAATCCTTTCTCGAGGCTTTGAATCATTGAAATTGATGTCCTATCCTGACTTCATGTATGAACCTGAGCTTTGTTGTTTTCTCGAACTGTTGCATCTTATTTTTGTCAGATATTATCATGGTGGGTTGTCAAATTTGATGCTGATCATGATCCTTATCGATCTGAGTGAAGTTTGTACCTCCCCTGAAGCTGGGAGTAGGTAGATAGGGACTTGCTGGACGATCTCATGCTAAAAATCAGATGAAATTAGCTCATGACCAGGTTCTCCAAAATCCTCAGGGCCACTGAAGTTCTGTCAGTGGCTCAAGTGAACAACCCATATGCTCGTCCATTAGCCCACCAATGGTTTTGAATAGCCCATGTGAGTTTGCTGTGATTCGAATGGTTTCATGTTTAGGAATTTAGTTATGGTAATTGATACCCATAACACCTTTTAAAGACTATTAAGGTTGGACTTTAGTTATGTCTCTTAGAAATTAGTTGATGTTACTAAACGTGCTTAATCTCATTAGATATTGAATGTCTTAATTTTGATTTCTTAGTGCTTGATTGAGTTATTGAATGGTATCTCCATGAAATGTGGCTTTTTTTTTCCTTAGCCTAGGGTTTTCACCTACTTGAGAGACAATATCTTGTGAAAAGAAACGTCTCGTGGATACATTCTATAGCTGAAGTTTTAGTACAGAATTTGTATATAAGTGGCACCTAGTGGTTCTTAATTTTCTTATAGTGAAACGGATATGGTGTACTATAATGGACCTAACCAATTCCTTTGCAAAATATTAAGTATAGCAAGACTGATTTGCGGTGGGTTTATTGGATCTTGATTAGGACTCCTTGGATAAAATGCCACATAGTCTATCATGGCGCGTATTAATCGTTCTTTTGACATTATGGGGAGTAATGGTTTGAATAATAAACCCTGAATAGCGGGTTTCTTTCGCCGCAATGCCAAACTACTACACATAGTGTGGTCAGCCTCAAAGAGCACCTTTTCCTCTGAAGATGATGTGAATTGGGAAAGTTAATGGAGGCAAACCATGGGAACTTAGGCCTGCGCCGTTTCATTTCTTGTTTTGTCAACACGACTTCCGCTGGAGAAAGTCTCTTTGTTTCTAGGGCAGAAATCGTTTGTTTCTAGGGCAGAAATCGATTGGAATGATCGATGGACACGTTTCTTTTAAGGCTATGTGTCAAGTTAGCGATCGACTAACTATTGAATGCTAATCATTGGGGTTTGCCTTAGTGACCACCCTTTCTACTTGGGAAGGGAAAAGTGGAGAGTTCGAATCTCTACCTTCTCAGGGGGGCTAACGGTTGGAACGTGTAATTTCAGATATGGGTTTCGACTCCCACGCCTTGCAAGAGGGAGGGCAAAAGTCTGAGAGTAAGTTTAGAGTTAGAGTAGGACAGATAAAAAAAAAAACTATTGAATGCTAGTCTCCTTCAAATGGAATCATGGACGAAACTAGCGGAATACAAGCGATATGGTGCTTGGTTTGACCTGTGGGAAGTATCGATGGAAGTTAGGATATAGTGAACATCGTCGTCTGGTATCCAGTCACCACTGGGTTGAGAGTTCATGCCATTCAAGGACACCTGACCCGGAGCTCCATTAAGGACAATACCAGATTGTTTCCATTGTTTCTTAACCCAGAGAGTATTATTAAGCAAAAGAAAACTTAGAGACCACAATAAAAGATGAGAAAAACTTGTGAGATCTGCAGTGTCGCGACACCACTCGACCCTTTCTCCTTGTCTCCACACTCTCGATGACCATCCCGATTCGAATCAACGTGAAGCTTATAAACGAAGAAAGTTGTCATGCGACAGTTTAGCTCAATTCCACGTTATTAAAAATAAATAGCTTTAACATGTTATTTTGACAATAGTATCTCCTCTTTTCTTTTCCTCCTTTGCTTCAAGGCCAGTAGACCTTGTGAATGGACTTGCAAGACCAAAACTCCCATGCATTTGTCACGGTCGCGGGGTTTCCATGCACCAAGGACCGTGCAATATCGACAAAGACTCGTTCAAACCCTAATGAAGTTTCCGAAACATTCCCAGGGACCGGCGATACGGTAATTGTGCCCTATTCTAGAGAGTTCTTGACATAAACGCCGGTAGTTGGTAGGCCGGAAGACGCAATCTCGACCACTCGATCAAATGTCAACCAATGGTTATAATGAATCGAGTCTTTGTGTAAGTAGGGGTGTTCTCCCCTCATATGAGGCATCCAAATCAATTGAAGTATTTCCATTCTCTCCCAGAGCTTCTCTCTATGATCCAGGTGAGCGAGTGAGCGATCGAGAAAAGCTTAGCTTAGGCGCTCCAACGATCCAGTGATATCCGGAAATTCTTACATCAATTACTAATATGTAGGAAATGAAGACGATAATTGTCATAAGTAGAAATCCTAGTTGGATTATCGAATTTATCGTGCGCGAAAGCAAAATATATTTATGTATCCGTGACTTTCGGAATGTGATTCCATTAGGATGTAATTACTGGGCATTTTTACATAGGTTGATTATATAAAGTGAGGTGAACCACGCATCGCCATAGTAATTGTTGGCAGGGATCGATATGCTCTGAAATATTTATCGAATAATTTTTAAAGTTAAAATTCGCTAAATGAGATTTTCCTAATGTTCGATAGCTTTTGCAGATAATTTCATTGAGTTTAAAATATTTTCCTGACTTATCGATATTAGAACGGACATTGATTTTTTTGTGTTTTTACTAAATTGCAAACTATCTTGACGAAGCATCAAATATCTTCTTTTTTTAATCAACCAAAGTAAGCCACTTGTCACCCTTTCACTTGAATACTTCTCTTGATTCTAGACCTAGTATTTAATCTGTGCGCTTGTATTTGTGCCATTGAACTTAGTCATCAAAATGACATCATTCATGACATTTTAACTTAACCAAGGTTTGTAGCAATCATTACTAGTGAAGTTAAGAAAAATAAAATAAAAGAACACCCTCTTTCCCCTTTCTTGGCTGAGACATCACCCCCTTCAATTTTCACTTCAGGAATTGCTTCATCTCCCCATCTTCCATAAACGAAACAGCTTTTACCAATTCGAAGTTTCGATCGACCTCCAACTATCTAATTAAGTTGTGATTTTAGTCTCAACTTTCAAGAGTCTTACAAAGTGATTAAAGGCTTTGGTTGTTCAAGATCCCATTCAAGGTAAGTGAAAACTCTAGGGGCTAAGTTAGATTGATCTACTTACTACTCTTGATTTACTTACTACTCTTGATTTGGTTGTTTGATGATCGTAGATTTTAGTTTGATCATTGATGTTAAGTGTGAAAAAGTTTCAATGATTTCATGTTGATTTGTTGATGTTCATTTGACTTGAATCAACCTTCCAATAGACATAGTTGTATAAAGGATGAGAAAAAGAGTAAAGACGTAGAATTTGGATTGGAAGATGACGTTCACGCAATCCTTGTTGATTGGCCGGCTAAATTAAATCGTTGTCGATTCATTGATTTTTTCGAGATACCAATTTCCGTTTTAGGTTGTCGATTTATAACATGTCTTTTTCTAGTGATAATATTACGTTGTATTTGTTGACTTGAATAGATGAGTCTCTGTATGCCGAGTTTGTGATTAATTGATGTCATAAGATTCGATAGTATAAAAAGCGGAAATGGTGAAATTAAATTAGAAAGTGATATTTTTTGTAATTCGACTAAGCTACCGATTTACTAGCTAAGTTTTGCCGATTAATCACGTTTTTGATTATTTGGGTGGCGATGTTCACATGATCAATTCTTTGAGTTGTCAATGTCCACGTTGTTGATTTTTGAGTTGATTTGTTGATTGAGACGAAGTTGTCAACCCTTAGTTGATGGTCCGACAGTGCACAGGCAGGCTTTTGGGCGTAGAAGTATGATGTTGAAGTTAGGTGATCCTGACCTTCTCAGGAATTATGTATTTTGTTTTTTGGCTGAATGTTGTATTGTAAAACTTGTTTTCGTTTGCGTTCGTGGAGGGTATGCACCAGAATTGAAACCCAACGTTGAAATTAGCAACAAACCATGGAGGGTTTCTCGTTCACAAACTTGTTTCGCAAGGGAAGCGCCATGGGAGTGGGAGAAGGTGAGCAGGAGGCCATGGATGAGCTGATCGCTTCACTTCCACAAGAGGAAGGTTCAAATCTTCCTCCTCGTTGCCTTTACCAAAACTTTTGGTGCCCCGTCGCCATGCTTCCTAATGTGGTCGCGTTCCAGAGGCACTTCAAGGCCAAAGGCGAGGACATTGTTCTGGCCTCCCCGCCCAAATCGGGGACCACCTGGCTGAAGGCCATAACTTTCTCCATCGCCAATCGCTCCCGCTTTGACATTTCAAACACACCCTTGCTCACTTCAAACCCCCATGAACTCATCCCTTCTTTCGAGTTCTTGTTTGGGCATAACCCGAGATCCGATCTCGATGACATGGAGGAACCGAGGCTCTTCGCTACGCACCTCCCTTACCCGAGCTTGCCCGCATGCATCCGGCAATCGAATTGCCGGATCATATACATCTGCCGTAATCCATTGGACACCGTTGTTTCCTCGTGGATCTTCACTGTGGCGATGGCGCGGGCGGAGAACCGACCGGAGTGGTCTCTGGAAGAGCATTTTGAGGCCTATTGCCAAGGGAAACTAGGGTTCGGGCCATTTTGGGATCACATGGCCGGGTATTGGAAGGAGAGCTTAGAGAGGTCACCCAAGGTGTTGTTCCTCAAGTACGAGGACTTGAAAAGAGATGTGGTAGGACACTTGAAGAAGGTGGCCGAGTTTATGGGGCTTCCCTTCTCTAAGCAGGAAGAGGAGGGAGGTGTGACTGAAGATATAGCCAAAATTTGTAGCTTCTTTAGGATCTGGAGGTCAACAAATCTGGCAAAATACGAGTGATGAACTTAGAAAAGAGAAGCTTCTTTAGGAAAGGCGAGGTGGGTGATTGGGTTAACCATCTCACTCCTTCCATGGTGGATCGCCTAAATAGCATCATGCAAGAGAAGCTGAGCCCCTTTGGCTTGCAATTCAGAATATGTTGAGTGTTTGTTACTTTCTCTTTCTCTTTCTCTCTGTGTATCGCTAACAGTGAATAATCTACCGTCGGCTTCTCTT